TGACCATGTCATATTTAAATATATTTTGTAAATTGTAGCCTATAATTTATTTATATTTTAGTTCTAATTTATTAATATTATGTATTCTAAATTTATTTGTAAATATTTGTATAGAGAATGGTGGTAATAAAATAAATATTAAAGTATTACATATATTTGCCTATATGTGTATTATTATAAGTGTTTAGTGTTCACTATTAATTATAAGCAGTGGATGGGTAGTTTTGATCAACCTCTCATATTAGTAAATTACCACCATACGTCTACACCTATTACTTACCTATATGGCTATGTATTAAATATATAAACATTAATATTAACATATAATGTATGTATTAATTATATTATATACATTTTAAATTTACACAATATTATTCGGATCAAAGTATTTCACCGCAATTTTGTATGTAATCAAAAATCACTGCGCACGAAGAGAAATATCACAAAATAACTTATTATATTAGGTCATACATAGTATACTATAATATTATACCTAAACTGTTATATTACGGTTAGCAATAAATGCATGTTTAATGACATAATCATGGATATATATATATATTTAAGCTTTCACCATCGTGAAAATAATTAAACAAAATAAAGCTATTATTTGATGGGGTTGAACCTTGAAGGGCTTGAACTATTAACTAAAGTATAATTTATATGTAATATCAAATTATTGATTAATTAAACAATTTTAAATTTTTAGTTTCCAACAATTTAATATTTAATAGTTAAAACTTAAAAGTGATTGTGCTATAATAATTAAGTATATTTATTATATAATAGAGAATAACATGCATAGTACACACACATTAAACATTATAAATATAACTGTAGAAGTAACAAGTACATAACAACTAACAAATATTTATTTACAATCTTATCAGATGTACACATTGCTATAATTAAATTTAAAAATGTACTATCATCACGTTTGCAGTACAAAATAATAAGTATCTACTATTTTAGTCTATTAAAGAATCCGGATAAACTTTTTAAGTAGTGCCTATTTTAAAAGGAACAAATTAATATGATTTAATATAATATGTCTAATTTTAACTAACTATATGTCAAATCTGTAAAAAATAAAAATACAATAGTCATTTTTATTTGAATGGTCTGGATTTTTTGTAGATATTAATTATATTTATTAAACTATTTAGATATGCACTATTGACGATAGCCCCTGTAATAAACAAGCACGATCGGGGTTTTAACTATAAAATTAATATTTTTTATTTATTTCCTCGAATGCTTGTTGGTTGAACATTGAAAAAATTAAATTAAATTAAATATATTCGACGAACGCGTCACGAACAAACATATTATATTATATATGTATTGTTGTTGTCCCAGCAAGGTGGCAATAACAGTACCCGTAAAGTGGGACGGCCAAAATACTTTAAGTATTTAAAGTTTTTTTTTTTTAGAGTTATTTGAAATACCGAAAACAAACTTCGTTAGTCTCAAGTATTTCAGATATAAAATACCGAAAATATATGTGTCTTAAACAGGAATAAAATACTTTATTCTTCCAACTCACTGCATCTTAAAAATCTTTAAAAAATATATTCTATAGTTATAGCCCTGGCTATAAAAAAAATTAAAAAACAAATTGTATTGCTGCAGTACCTATATCCACATGTCTCATATTATTTTGTAAAATTAGTCTTAATAAGTACATTTAATTAAATCTACTATTATTATTTACAATTGTCAGAAAAAAGATTATTATTAGATATTATATTATTTAAAATACAAGTACTTAATTAATTATCAAGTCTTAGATTCTCTGTCACTGTAGACGCCTTCAACAATAATGGGACGTTAGTTGAATAAAAACGTACGTGTTTGATTTGTAATATTTGAAATGCGAAAGTATTATATTATTGTACTTTTCAGTGACTACAACCCATATTTGAAATACAAAACACAAAATGTATTAATAAATGGTGCTTGTCTCTGCCTGTATAGCATAATATACAATATACATACATATGCAACCGTTGTATACCATACTGCTAACCATACTAAGTCAAGTATAAGACATTATTAATGCTCTTACGAGTTACGATTATACAACAATATTATGTACTGATATTATGACGGCGTTCGCCAATCGAATATTTTTCGATGCTATAATAATAATAATAATAATAATATTTTCGCGAAGAGTGTACACCGGTACCGGCGTTAATATAAAGGCTGTCGGCGGCAGGGGCGATACGTTCCTGCCCTCCTGGTAGTTGCGGACGCCAAACATGCGCACAGGTGTACGGCCAGGTGACCCGGCGGCGGCGGCATCGACGGCGGCAACGACGGCGGCACAGGTGAGCGGTCTACTACCGATGAGGCCCTGGTACGAGGAGCCGGTCGAACGCGCGACAGGTGAATCGAGTTTGTCTTGGGCCGGCACTCTTAACACCTCACGATCAGCTGCTGCAGTTACTTGTTATTGTCGCGCGTCATTAGAATATGGTTACACTTACAACACATAAAACGTTATCATAATACAACAATGCGTGAAACCGCGTAACCGCGTAGGTCGTAGTAATATAATAAAATTATTATTGTTAGGGCCGTGAGAATTTGTATGAAAATACAATACTCTTAGCTTGCTGAAATACACAGCTTCTTAACACAATGTTTGAATTTAGAGTTAAAAAAGTTTTCAATTTTGACCTTGCTTTATTTAAATGTGTTTGCATTTTATAACATTTTTGAATTTTTGGCTTTTATAATTAAATGTCAATTATTTTTTTTTTTTACTTTTTTTGATTTTTTTTAACACTTCCCTATAATTATAACTTTTTATCACACATTTAATTAATTATTTTTAAATTTTCGTCTCATGCATTTTTGTAAATTAATAAAAACAATTAAAAATATTGTTTTTTTGATATTTAGGTTTTTTAATACATTTTTCGGGATGTTATGGTTCATTGTACACTGCAGATTTTGAGATACTTATGCATTTTTCTAGATTATTTAGTTTTTTTACGAGATTTATAATGCATTTTATACTGCATTCAATCCGCATTCCTGCTAATCTTATCTATATACTTACTCATGTGTTTTGTATTTATGTTTGATTATCAAATGATTTTATTTCCTTGGTTTTGGATTTATAATATTGTCTTAAAATTTATTTTCAAAAACCGAACGATGTTCGATGCAGTTTTTTTCTTCGTGGACTCTTATACAATACGTTTTATCATAAAAATACAATATATTATCATGGAATCATGCATTATGTTCTAGATTTTCAACCACTTTTTTACAGACTACAATTTATTACTTAAGGTATATTTTGTGAATAAAGCCTAATGACACACATTTTAAGTACAAGAATAACTAGGTACCAATTTAGGTTTTTATGTAATACCATTTAAAACCCGGAAAATAATAACAACTAACAAAATATGCATAACTCTAAAAGTCATATTTTTTTGTGGCATATGACATAATTTGGGTTATTATCTTCACGTAATAACTCCAGAATCCAGACCATATATTTTAATAGTTTCAATAGTAAATAGTTTTATTATACTTATTATACCTATGATAACAACATTTTTTTAAAGTAAATAAATCTCTTGTTTATATTAAGATACAATTATTTGTTTTATTTTTAAAACAATAAAAGTGTTTACGTAAAAAACCATATTAACATTTTAGAAAAGTTAAATTACTAATTTTATTCGTATGTATATAATAGTTGTAATGTTGAATTAAATATTACCATAATTGTATGTTTGTATTTCATTTCTATAGCACTTATAGTTAATAAATAACTTGTAATTAGGTAGTTATAATTGTATAGATTATTGTGAAAGTAGTTCTATCTAAAAAAAAATGTAATTTACAGATAAATATATGAAAATGTGATCCCAATTTTAAAAAATCTAAAGTATCGGTGGATTAACTGAGTTATCACTCGTAATTGAAAAAGTAAGCACCAACAAAACTTCAAAAGAATAGGTCTATTACTCTATTCACATGTTTTCACATCTTTAAATTGTGGATGGATACAGTTTTTTATTATAGTTGAATATTTATAAATAGTTTGTCTTAAAATGAATTAGAATTGAAAAATACATTACGAAAATCATAATATTAAAAGTTAATGAATATAATTCGTAAATTAGTTTAATATTATTATGACATATTATGTTAATTACTCGAGTAGCTGCAGTTTTTTTAGTATGTTAATGTACGTACTACTTACCTACAAATATTATTAGGTATTTTAGTGCCATGTGTGTTTAGAATATAAATTTCTTAAACTCATTCAAAGCTTTATTAAACTCTCGGGCTCATAAATCCATAAGGAATCACATATATACGTGCATTCACTATGGAAATTTACATTTTATTTATATTCCAATATATTATGCTGAATTCCGATGCACATTGTATGTGCTCTTATACAGATTACAAATTTGTAGTATAGATAAGTACGTAAAGCACGTATAGCTATTATTTATAACTACAATATTCTAGAGTCAAACGCATCGTATTATTATTGAAATTTATTGATGTGTGTGTTTTAATTTATAAATTATTAATTTATTCTTAATATTTTAGTAGAAGCCTACTTTATAAGTTTATAACGTAGGTATATAATTATAATATATTATTGAAAAGGAATCTCCATTCTTCAACTAAAATATTATACATTAAAAGGTTAAGAAAACAAATATGTTTATTTCTTCTTTCGGAGTAACATATTATTTATATTATAAAATATTTTTAAATTTTTATTATTTTAACAATTTATTTTTATCAAAATTAAAAATATATCAACTATGATTTTTAAAAGTTTACTTTATGGTGAATTCATATTTAATTTAATTTAATGCTTGTTATTTATAGTATTTGAGTATTTTATACTAATTATATCTGTTTACAAGTTTAACTTATGCCGACTTGCAGTCAATACAAATTATGTGAAACAAAAATCAAAATATGCTTAAGATGTTAATTAAATATACTACAATACTTACTTGAACGTAGACAAATTCTGTAGAATGTTTTCTCGATTAATTTTTTGAGTTAGCTCCAGTTGATTAGATTGTGGCAAATAATTCAAGCCAGACAAAACTATACCAATTTGATTTGATAGATTTTGATTTTGAAAACGGATTATGATTGGTTAACGAGTTTATTCACAAGCCATTCTACTGTACATAGGCTATTGACTTAAAAAGTTGAAAGTTAATAACAGATTAAAGGCTAATAATTTTATTCGAAATAATATTTTAATAATTACTGCAAAACCTATAACATATACATATACGATTTTCAAAAATTAGTTCTACCTACCATATAACTAACAGAAAAATAAATAAATATAAAATAAAATATCTTTAGAAATATAGATAGCAGCAGACAGTCATCGCTTAACTTACAACTATTTATCATTGAACTCAATTGCAACATGTCTATTTCAAAATGATCAGCCGAATGAAGAGGTTTATCTGCAGTCTACTGCAGTTGACAACATAGTACTAGTACTATATTATACTATTCAGTAGAGAAGCAGAATGACTTCCCCGTTTTTTTTTTAAAGTTTGAACAAAAATAAATTATTTCAATTAACAATTTCAAATTGGATGATACAAATAAAAAAATAATTTTTTACACTTTGCTATCAAACAATAGCATATCATTTTATGAACAGAAAATACTGTGAGCAAATATTTTTATTATGCTAAGCGAATAATTGCATCTTTTGACCCATGGTCGTATAGCTCAGGTACAAAGATAATGTTTGTTTGAAATACCATACAAAATGTAATATACTAAATTCTTGATGAATATTTTTTTATAAATGATGAAAGGGTTATAATTTATAAAATATATGCATGGAAACAAATTATTTACATTACATTTTATACATGATATACCTACCTCTGTAAATGTATAATGTAGGTATAATATGATCACATAAATATTTTGATAAATGCGTAATAAACAAAAAACAAGAGGATTGGCAACGTGAATTGAAGGAGCGTGGTGAATAATGACCTCTCCCTTATTATGCTGAGAGGTTGTGAGAATTGCGCATTTAATTATTTTACTTGATAATAAGGGAAGTGCAGAGGTATTTTGTGATGGACCAAAAACTTTAAAAAGTGAGTTTTATGTCATAAAAATAAAAATGAATGTATGTAGGTGATAATATAATATAGTTTATGATTATAGCCATCTTGGTATCTAGGCATACAAGGAAATTCGTTTTTTTACTAATTTTGAATTCAGCAATGAATTGTGTATAGTTAGATGCTTCTATACCTTATATAACCTTAGCTATCTGAAAATAGTTTAGTCAGTGGTTAGTGGTTTAGTCAGTTTAGGGTAAAAAAGATTAAAGAGTTAGGTGCTGTTTAGGTGAGAGGTTTTAAATTTAAAAACAATGATACAACTATTGCTTTCAAAAACGTTAACTATTTTATATTTATACTCACCTATGGGTACATACAATCAAGATCTTATCTAATCAAATAGCTTACATTTATTAACTATTTTTTTTAAATGAAATTTTACAAGATATTGTTAAAAAGAACAACGGCATTCATAAATTTTTCCTTTAAAATTTAAAATAATATTTATGTTAAATTTATTTTCTATATAGATGCATTTTTTTTAATATAAAACTTTTATGTACCTGTATATTAAATAACGCCATAATTAAATGTAAAACCAAATAATACTAATAACACACTCTTTATATTATATGTAAATCTAAAATTAGTTATTTATAAAATTTCAATACGATGTTTATAACAACACATTTTTATAAGAGATTTATTAAACTCATTGTGGGTACTTTACAAAAACATAAGAGTTAATATCTTATAGTGTGATAATTAAAGTACAAATAAAATAAATTTAAAAAATAGTTTAAAGAAATGTTAGTAGAAAAAACTTTTCTAAAAAGTATGCATTTTAGTTAAAAATGGTTAAGGTAAATAGTAGCGGTTATTGAGGCACTTACGATACTGAATATCTTAGTAACTATAGTTGATACATATATTAACACTGTTTGTTTAAAGTATTTTCAAGATATTTTTAAGATGACAAGGTGGCTGAACGAAATAAGACAGAAATTAATTTACTTGCCGCGTACTATCGGCTCTGATAAATATCTGACCTTAAAGAGAAAATAAGTAGTATTATACGATAATATTAACTATTAAGAAATAGTTTCATTGAAAGTTAAATAAAAAATAAGATAATAGGTACCTATACACCTTCAAAATAATGAATTACTAACACTAATGTCTAATATGCAGGTTTAACCAATAAAAACTTACTAATAAAGACTTACTTACTCTTGGATAATATCTGCATTCTACAGTTTATTATAATACAATAATATAATATAATTATAGTTTGATTTGTATTTATTTTATTTCATCGTGGAAACGTTAGTAAATTATCAAATATTAACAAGAATATTTGTAAAACGTATTAATAATACAACTATCGCAT